TTAGAGGCCAGGAGATATGTGTGTGTGCCTTTTAATTGCATTAGTTGCCAAAATTTGAAAATGGAGAGGTTCTGCATAAGAATACGTATTTCCAGCTTCTCTAATAAAATAAACTAGGGTTGGCTATAATGTGGTCATTTGCTGCGTTGTAACTGTCTGCTGAGGCTGGAAGTGGTGGTCATAGATTGCGGGGGGCGGATTCTGCCATTCACCATAACCCCCACCACTGTCTAATTTTCTTATGCTCGACGGGCATCATTCATTGATTTTACCTCCCAGGCCCTGAAAGCTCACCTACTACTTTCTTTGGCTTAGCTTCTCTTATTTGTGCTTGGAGCAGTTTTGTTCAGTGAATCAAAATAGCTCAAGCAAATTTATGATAACAATACAAAGGCCATGAGTACTAAAAAATGAGTAACTGTATTTCCATTAAAAGAGGCTTCAAGCAGGCAAATGGTAAAAAAAAAAAAATGAGAAAACAACTTATTGAAAAATTAACAATTGGTTGTAGTCAACTGAATCATTTTTTTAAAAAATTTGTACATGTCTCAATTTACATACAGAGTGAACAAAACCTCAATTCTATCAGAGAGATGTTTTCAGAACTCTTTCTTAGAGGAGCACAATTTCCCCCCTTCATTTCCTATCGCAATTCAATTTTACTAACTAAATTCATTGTTCCTGTATGTGGCTCTATACATTGTAAAATGCTGAAGGTATAAATGCACAGCATAGTATTCTGTGTTATGTCCTTTGAGAGAGAGATGAATGATTTAATAGCACCAATGATGGCTATTTTTATGATGTGAAGGGAAGTTTCTTTGATGTGGACTATTTCATTTAATTCTTACAATAACCCATAAGCCAGGCACTACTTAACCCCATTTTACCAAGGAGGAAATTCATTCACTTGTCAAAGATGAATGCTAGGTGGTGGTCGGTGCCAGGGTTGTCCCCAACAACTTTTGCCTTTTTATCTGTACTACAGTGTCCCTAAAAAGTGAACAATTCCACAGATACTGTTCCACTCCACCAGGTATATTCACACAAAAGTCAGTTGCTTTGCAAACTCAACAAAAAGTCTATCAATGAAAACTTTCTCAGGACCAAAACCCTCTAAATTTAACCCAGAGACCCCCCCCCCCCAACCCTGGCAGCTTGCAGCAGATAGAGAAGTTTCCCCATTTATTTCAGAGCAAACGTTTGATGCAGAAGGCAAAACAGTGAGGGAAAGATAGCCTCACTCTCCAGCTGAGCTGTATTTCCACTCAGGGTAAGTCAGAGCCTAAATGAGGTTCATTAGCATATAACCCAGCCACAAATATGTTTATGAGGGTCATGGATCTTCTGTTCAGAATTTGGCTGCCAGCATGCTGGTTTTACATTTTGCCACATAGATTTAATTCTCCTTAGTGGAAAGAAAACCACATTAAGAAGTCATTTCCTTCCTTGCAGAGGCAGATATGATGCAGTTGCTACAGGCAAGTCAAATGGGATTGCTATTCTTCTACTCAAGAACTAATTTTCATCTTGATACTACCTTTAGGTCTGTTATAAATCCGTCTTGTAACAATCCAATAGGATGACAAAGAACTGTGCAAAGCCCAGAAAATATAGCCTTCTCACTTCTGGTACTGCCATTGGAAGACAGAAATCAAGCATTAAGTGGCTCCATCGACACAGATTATACTTTAGAGATGAATCCAAATAATTTAGAGCTTGTGACCATTAATCTCTTCCTGGTTATTAGACCACCGCCTGTTATTGTCATATGCCTTACAGATAGTAACATTGTGCTAATGCTTAGAAGTTGTTTATGGGAAATAGGAAATAAATAAAACAAAAACTGATCATATTTGCAAAACTCTGTTGTACATGGTTTTTAAAACTTGAGATTTCCCTGCTAGAAGCCCCAGATGGAAGCATGTGTCTTTCCTTAGAACAGTGGTGCTCAACCCTGGCTGCCCACTGGGATCATGTGGAAAACTGAAAAATAAAACCCATCCCAGGGATTCTGATTTAATTGGTCTGGGGCAGCCCAGGTATGGGGATGTTAAAGAAAATTCAGGCAATTTCTAGGTGCACTTACTGTGGAGAAGCACTGTATTCAGGAAAAGTGTGTGTGTGGATAAAGCCCACACACATACAGAAATGACACATTTGCCTTTAAGCCCATTGCTTGTGGCCCTGTCAAGAGTGTCCCTGTCCTTGGCAAATGCTGCTCTAGAACTGCTTTTGTTCCGTTTACATTCTATTAAAGGGGTGTCTGGGCCACAGCGCTTGTCTCAGCAACACTAAGATGCTGATCCAGTTCAGGAGCCATGCTGCTCTAGAACTGCTTTTGTTCCGTTTACATTCTATTAAAGGGGTGTCTGGGCCACAGGGCTTGTCTCAGCAACACTAAGATGCTGATCCAGTTCAGGAGCCTTTGAAAGAGTTTTCAGTCTCTGCAGGAAATAGAGAGCCCAGGAAAGGCCCTGTTGTGCAAGACTTGTGTCCTGAAAGAGCCACCCAGGTGACATGGATACTAAACATGCTGCAGTTTGGAGTAAAGTCCACTTCCCTGAAGCAATCCACCTTGTGGCTGCAACCTGTTGCCTGGCTAACAGAGCTTAAATAGCAGCACACCCAAAAGGCACTATTTGTCTTGGGCAAGCTTTAATGAAGTAGTGTGGTTTTGGACAAACCTCTCAGAACACTTTAGGCTGCCACAGGGAAAGGCAGTGACTACTTATTAACATGTCAGATATTTCATCTGTCCTGTAGTGCCAGGGGCTGGCCCTAGCACTAGAACACTGAACCAGAGGAACCCTTTTACTGTCCTCCTGGGGCATCCAGGTAGGGATGGTAGACATCAAATGGTTGGTTCTTAGAGAATGAGATTACTGAGTGGGAAGATTGCTGGGCAGGGCTAATCTAGTTCCAAAGGCTTTCGAGACACGTTGACTTCATAAACAAACAGTGTTATGATCAAGAGTGTTAGGGAAGAGAAGACTATCTAAGGAGCATCCGACAAGGGATCTCCCAGGAGAGCAGGGTTGGTTCCAAAGGCTTTCGAGACACGTTGACTTCATAAACAAACAGTGTTATGATCAAGAGTGTTGGGGAAGAGAAGACTATCTAAGGAGCACCCGACAAGGGATCTCCCAGGAGAGCAGGGTTAGGCTCTCACTTGAACAAGTGCCTTTAACCTCTTCGTGCCTCAGCTTCCCTCTCCGTAAAATGAGAGTAGTAAAAGAGTTGTGAGCAGTGATGTGCCTGACACATAATAAGCAGTACTTAGTATTTGCTACCACTGCTACTACTACTATTATTATCATCACTGCTATTTTTAAGATAGATACGCTGACCCCATGACAGTGACCACGAACCACTCCACAGAGGTCATTTCCAGGAGTAAAAGTACTTCTACTATCTTCAGGTTTCTCGATGATCTGTGTCTTTTGGATCTAACTACCCTGTAAAAGGATTAAAAGTTATGATCAGAATTCAGATCCAAACCAACTAATTCTAATGGGGCATCCAAGTCTGGGGACGAAATTTAGCTCCTTGAGTTCTAAAATAATCCCTAACTCTCAGGGCTACTGTAAGGAGTTAATGGAGGCTTCTCCCAAGTAAAAGTTAAGATACTACAGTAAAAGCATATAATAAAGGTCAAAGGCAGCCAAAAGTACCCTGAGAGCATGGTTGCCAGATTTAGCAAATAAAAATTAGGGATACTCATGTCTCATACTGTATTTGGAACATACTTATACTAAAAAAAAATTGGTTTTTAATCTGAAATTCAAATTTAACTGGGTTTTCTATATTTTATCTGGCAACCTGACCTAGGAGACCTCTTAGAAAGGCACTACAGGAAGTACTTGGCTTGCATTCAGTAATTGGGCTGTTCCCAACCTGCCTAGCTGTGAATCCTGGAAAAAACAGAAGAGATCATCCAAAGAAAAATAAAATTCAAGGTTAGCGTTTTGTGCAGTCTAGGACTTATTAGTATTGCATGGAGTGCAAATCACCAGCTCTATTTTAATTCCACAGTTCATCCGGTCTAAGATACACACTTTTTCATATTTTAACATGTCTGAAATCAAAATGTGTCCCATAACCAGCAGTGTATCATCATTTAATTGGAAGTATTTTTCTTTCTTAGTAGTACAGACAATAACAGCACTTCCATCTGACAGTGTCTGGGATGTGATGCA